TCTTATCTCCGACGGTATCGCCGAGGATATATTGCCATTCAAAAGTTGACTCCATCTGAAAATATACAGATTCCAATTAAACCCAATCAAAGCCCATCTCACCATTAATATACATTACCACTAACGCCTTCACATAACCCATGAACCACCCACCAAGTCAATGGTATCATCACCTCAAAGTCTGCAAATTCACCATCTCATAATACCGTCCCCTCCTCCTCAACAGCTCCTTATGTGTCCCACACTCAATCACCTCTCCCTGCTCTAAGAAATAGATCATATCCGCCCGTTGAATCGTACTTAGCCGATGCGCCACCGCAATAGTGGTCCTCCCCTTGGCAGCCGCGTCCAGCGCAGCCTGCACCACCTTCTCCGACTCAGAATCCAGCGCGGAAGTCGCCTCGTCCAACAACAAAATGCGCGGGTTCCGAATCAACGCACGCGCAATCGCGATACGCTGTTTCTGTCCACCTGACAACATGCCACCCTTGTTACCAACGAGGGTGTCAAAGCCTTGTCTGTTTCTCTATCAGTAACCGCATATATACCACAAAGAGGAAAGGGACAGGGAGGACTCACGGCAACGACATGATGAAATCATAAATATTCGCATCTCTGCACGCTCTGACCACCATATCCTCCGACACATGTTCCTTATCCGTACAACCCAGGAGAATGTTCTCCCGGATAGTGCCATGGAACAGCGATGGTTCCTGACTGACCAGCGCCAAATGACTGCGATACGACTTCTTGTCCAACGCTTTGATGTTGCGTCCGTCAATATAAATCTCGCCCACCTGCGCTTCATAAAACCGTTCCAACAGGGCAACAATCGTACTCTTGCCACTACCACTCGACCCCACCAGAGCGACATATTGTCCTGGCTTGACGGTGAGGTTCAAGTGGCGTAGAACAGGCTGTTCCAGACGTGTGGGATACCGGAACGACACGTCACGGAATTCAACCTCCCCTTGCATGGAGGCAACGTGGACGGGGGGTCCGTACCGATAGCTATTGATTGCAGATGTAGTGGGGTTGTTGTTGCGGAAGAGTTTCTTGAACTCCACAGCCGCGTTCTTGGCCTTGCCCATATCCGGAGCATGAGAGAAGATTGTTCCCGCGGCTTGCGCGCCGAAAATGACTTCACTGAAGCAGACATAAAACTGGAAGAGGGAATAGTCGCCTTTTCCGAGTAAGGTGCCGCCGTACCAGAACCCAAGCGCCATGCATAGGAACGGCAGGGCCTGGGAACTAGCATACAGCGCAGAGGACTTGATGATGGGGAAGATGTCGCTTCTCAGCTGGTTATGGAGTTGTGACTCGTAAGATTGGAGCACCTCCGGCTCCATGGTCAATGAAGCGACCGTGCGGATAGCAGAGGCGGCTTCGCAAGCGGAGCTGGCTGATTTCTGGTATGCTGTTTTAGCGCGACGCTGAATTTTGTCGAGCATCCAGACGCGAATGAAACCGCAGGCGAGGAGGACAGGGACGGCGGAGATGCACACCAGGGCGAGTTTCCAGCCCATTGCCAGGGCCACGACGAGGGAGGCGGCCAGGTTGACAGATACGATGAGGATGGTGCCCAGTGTGACGCCACTGATACCGGCTAGTTGCTTGGTTTCGGCGCCGAGGGTGGAGGTCAAGGCACCGGTGGTGTTTTCTTCGCGGTCAAAGAAGGAAATGTCTTTGTTCAACATGACGCGGAAGGCCTGGCTGCGGGCGCGGTAAATCATGCGCTCGGAGCTGTAGGCGAAGAGGGTCCCCTGGAGACTGTAGATGCAGAGGGTGATCATGCCCATCATGAGGAACATCAAGGACCAGAAGTTGGCGTCGTGGCGCAGCTTGTGGTATTCGAAGGGTGGGAGACTCAGGGTGCTGACGGCTTTGGCGAACAGGACGGCTTGAGAGGGCTGGATGCCACCCGCGATGATGGAGGCACAGAGACCTAGAGACATGATCGGCCATTCGGGGCGATTGAATGATGCAAGAAACTTGAATAGCGACCAGAGAGAGAAAGTCTGCTTGACTTTCGTTGGCAAGGGTGGGATGAACATGGACATTCGGGTGCGGCGGCGTCGGTGTTTGCTGCCAGACTTGAGCCCGATTTCTGAGCCATCGTCGCTTAGTGCGTCCTGGTCTTCCATGGGATAGGTGGCGTAGTCATTCTCGAAAAAGAATGTCATCGACTCGTGCCGCTTCTTGTCCCGCTGTTTGATCTGCTGGGCTTCGACCATATCGCAGTAGACGCCTCTCCGGTCCATGAGCTCTGCATGTGGGCCCTGCTCTACGATATGGCCGTTGACGAGAACGATGATGTTATGGGCGTCTTTGATAGTAGAGAGGCGATGTGCAATGACAATTGTTGTACGACCCTTGGTGGCCTTATCCAGCGCTGACTGCACGATTTCCTCCGACTTTGCGTCCAGCGCTGAAGTCGCTTCGTCGAGAAGCAGCAGACGAGGATCCTTGACGACTGCTCGTGCAATGGCAATACGCTGCTTCTGACCACCAGGCAGCGAGAAAGACCCGATGTTGGTGTCGTATCGACTCGGAAGAGCCATGATGAAGTCGTGCGCATTGGCCATGCGAGCAGCATCGTGGATCCGCTTGGTGATCTGTGCCTCGGTTTCATTCTCAAAGTCAGAGCCAATCAGCCCGAATTTGATGTTCTCGTAGATTGTGGTGGAGAAGAGTCGAGGCTCTTGAGATACTAGCGAAACTTGCTGTCTCAGCCAGCGAAGGTTCAAATTTTGCAAATCATGTCCATCAAGAGTGATTCGTCCAGCCACAGGATTGTAGAACCGCTCGATCAACCCGATGACCGTACTTTTGCCGGATCCCGAGGGCCCGACGAATGCCGTAGTCTTGCCGGCTGGAATGTAGACACTCAAGTCATTGGCGACAATGACCTCGGGACGCGAGGGGTACACGTGTCTGATGTTCTGCAAGACAATGTTGCCCTTGATGTGGCCCAGCTTCAGGCCCTGATCCGAGGATGCATCCAAGGGCGACGGCCTGTCGATGGTACTGTACAGCTTAGATGCCGCAGCCACTGCATTCGAGATGGCCTGGGTGTTTGGAGCAACGTTCCCCAAATGGTACGACCCAAGCATAATGGACATGAGGATAGTGAGTATATCACCCGCCTGGACACCGCTATCTCCATGCACAAGGAAGATACTCCCACGCCAGAAGCCCAACCCATAATTCAAATGGATGCAGGAGAGAAGCGCACCCACCATGATGGCAAAGGTAATCTGCGCTTTTCGGGCGGGCCCCTCAGACTCTAACAGATGGGCATCATACTTGGCAGCCAGCACATTTTGAGCATCAAAGGCCACAACTGTTCTAACAGAATCAAGAATATCTTCGGCAAAGCTACCGCAACGACCTTGGCAGTCGAGCGATCTCTTGCTATAAACCATGGTGAACATGGACCCCCCGCCCATGATAACCAGCAGGGCAATAAGGGTGGCACTACAGATCAAGGCCAACTTCCAGAACTTGATGTAGGCGATGATGAATGCTGTAGCAAAGGTGGATAATCCCGTCAGCGCCAGGCCGACTTTCTCGGAGATGCCATCCTGTATCAAGTTTGTGTCTGCCGTGATGCGGGTGGTGATTTCACCGGCTCCCAGGTTATCGAAGAAAGCGATGTTCTGGCGCAGAATGGCGCGCAGGTATTCCACGCGGATGCGCTGAACGACATGGTCACCGGTGTAGATGAAGCCCGCGGTCGCGATGTAAATGGTTAGAAACTCGGCGACGGCAAGGTAGATGAAGTAGACGACGTATCGGTTGAGTTCATTATGGAAGTGCTCGTAGGTGATGGTGCCTGCGACGATGTCTTGGAAAGTTGAAGTGAGGTTGCCAAAGAGGACCTATGATGGTTAGGACATTCGCTGGAATTGCAGGATGGATATTCTCACAGTGAACAAAGGCAGAGCAGCCCCTCCAGCTATGGATGCGGCCGAGCTGAGGATGATGAGGAATATGTCCCAGCGACTGGCATACCGGTAAATACCAAAGAAGCCCGGCTCGGATGCGGGCGCATTCACTTGCCTGTCGAGAATCTTCTTCTCGACGTCGGACAGGGAGATGGCGGTGCTATCTGTGCCTGGTGACTATTGTGGTGTGTCAGTCGCACAGTGGTTTTCAGATAGCATGAGATAACACTCACCTTTGGAAGTTCTTCCAGGCAAATGTCCTCCTTCCACTTCATGATGTCGACAGGTGGTGACTACCATGCATGCGCCATCAAGTTGTCATTACTATTAGTGTAGCAGTAGCAAGCAAAACAACAGAGCAGCAAACAAAAGATGACACAACGATCGGACGAGTCCCAGCTCAACAGAAATGCCCAGTCTAAAGTTAATCGGAAAGAAACCACATGCAATCTATCCCTCACATGAACAGAAACAAGCCATAGAATCTCCAAGAAAACCAGAAAGCAAGGAAGGAGAACCCCCTATACTTGAAACCTCAGAAATGGCAAACACAGCCCGAAATGAACCGCAGCGAATCCCACGGAACCCCAGCAGATCACGACCATCCTTATTCGCATTTTCACCCATTCATCGGCGCACAAGTTCGTAGTAAACTTGCAGGAACTCTAATCATCAGAAGACCAAAGATGGGTTAACCAGGGACATGGCCCGTGTGGGAACCAGCGTTTCAAGCCGAACGGGATCGTCAGGCACAAGGCGAGGAACCCAATATTAGGGCTCCGAGATAACCATGTGTTGCTGCACCCAAGCTTGAAACCTCAACGTTTTCAGCCGCAGATCCGTATGGCGGATATTACAGCCCCTCTGTCAATTCTACCGCCCTTGGCTACTGGTGCGTGCTTGTTTCGGGGCGTTGGCTCGGGCGCACACTCGTGAAACCGGGGTTGAGCGAGGACCGGTGTGAGTTGCCTCAAAATTGGGTCCCGCGCCGCCGTTTGAAGTCGTTGACTGGCAGATGCCATTGGACCCTGTATGGGCTGGTCTAAGCATATTTCTGAACTAGCTTAGCTGAATTACTAAGTTCTTTAAAAGAAGCCTCGGTTTGATTGATCAGATTCCTCGGATGAAAACTTTAAAAAATTTTCGTTCCTTAATGTATATTGGAAACTATGGTGTTGCACCAAAACTTTAATCTGGGTATAGCATCGAATCTTATGTCCACACAGTGTAAATGAAAGAAAGTAAGTGAAGGGGAATGGTTAAAGAAATGAAGGGGAAAATCATGTCAAGATGAAGGGAATCCTCGTGAAAGAAAGAATTAAGTTGGGAATCAAATCAGATAGCCTCTCGCTTCCGGAGCTTCAGCTTCAAATCGGGCACCTCCCAGAAGGCGTAGCAGCGACTCTCCCGCTGCCAGTCCTTAACAGGACCAATGTACTCTGCCTCGTATTCCAGAAAGAACGATGCTAGAGTCAGTTGCATCATCTGTTTCGCAAAATACTTGGCAACGCAGGACCGGCTTCCCACCAAGAAGGGCTGAACAGCCTCCTTTTTGTCGGTGGATTCGGGGTCGGTCCACCGCTCGGGAATAAATTCATATGGTTCGTTGAAGTATTCGGGATTGTGGTGTAGCGCAAACAGGGATGTGCAAATCTCGGTCTGTAACAGATTGGTTGGTCAGCAAACTCAATTCTTGAGCAGGTCATGTCAGGCCACTTACCCCGGCTGGAATGTAAGTCCCATCAACATAGGCTCCCGGTGAGACGCGCGGGCCTCCCAGTGGCACTGGTGGGTACAGACGGAGGGACTCCGTGATAATGGCGTTCAGGTAGGGTAGATTCGCGGCGACATCTCCAGAAACATCCTCAGGGGAGGCGAACGCCGTCTGCAACTCGCTAATCAGCTTGGCATGGGCCTCGGGGTGTGTCAGAACGAAGTAGATGGTGGCGCAGAGAGCGTTCTGAGTGGTGTGAAAGCCAGCCAGCATAATGGCTGAGAAATTCTCTGCAATTTCATCCACTGGCAGGTCACTGGTGGCGGCTCTCTCCATCACTTCGACCATGATGTCGCGGCGGTTGTGGGACGCAGTCAACTGTCTATAACTTGCATTAGCGTTTGTGTCAAACACACTATTGTGGGATTCCGCTTACTCGTTAATGAGTCTCATCCGAGCCTGCTCTGCACGAGAGCGGACTCCCTTCCGGATCAAGTAGCGCAGCATCATCTTGATCATAGTGGGTACGCCAGATCCAGCAAACTGATCACGAATCGTAGCCCAGAAGAAGATGCGGCTGAGCTGCTCGGTCCAGAAGTACGGCTTTCCTCGCTTCAGACAGCCCAACGATTTACCAAGGAGCACTTCGGAGACAGTGTCCACAGAGTGGCAATACAGCAGCCGGTTCAGACTAATGGTGTCGGTGCTCTTCAAGGTGGCATTGATGACATCGTGCAGTCGCGAGGTACACTCCAGAACCACATTCGCATGAGCCTGCATGCTGCTCGGAGTCATGGAGGGGTTGAACAGCTTTCGAACGGAAGCATGGTAGACCGGATCGCTGGCTGTGAAGATGTTTCGGCGAGAAATGCCCTTGTAGAAGCCGGTCTTGAGGAAGGTGCTGCCCTTGCCAGATCCGGCGCCGTAGATGTTGCGAAGGCCTTTGATGGTGTTGGTGGTGGCTTGTCCTGGGGCGAACCTAACGACTTTTCCTGCTCGAGGTTAGAAGCTATCAGAGTGCACTGGCCGAAATGAACATACCGTATGATACATGGAGAGAGTTGAAGTAGTGCGCACTCCGCCCAGTGACAAAGTTGAACTTGGTAGCAATCTGAAAGCCGTTAGAGGAAGAAGTAGGTCGAGTCAAGATGATCTGGTCTACATACGCCACAGCAGAAGAGATCGAGGAAAGAGCCCGGAACACCCTTAATGGTAGGACCCTTGGGAAGGAATTTGATCAAAAGAATGAATATCCAAGGGACCTGACAATTAGCCAACGCTCTATTACCAGGTTAATGCAGGACATACAATGACAACCGCCATGACCGGCAGGGACAGGTTGCTAGGGTTAATCTCGGGCATTTGGCCCGAAGGCAAGGCCATCGCAAACACCATGTTGACGAGTGAAACGAGAGAGTGAAAGTTGGATCTGGGCGAACAGCAGCAGCAGGAGAGTTCAGACTTGGTCTATTTATGATCTGGCCGAGTATCGCCATGCGGAGGATGAGAGCAATTGTCGTTGGGATCCGCTCTGGTTCTCCTTTCTCCATCCTTCTTGCTCAACCATCCAGTCTCCAATGCTGCGACCGCCATGCAGGGCAACAGGGGTATGCCGATGGATGGTTGGGAACTCCGCCAGTGTTTTTTAGTTTACTTCATTTAACCTTGTCGGATCAGGTTCCATTCGCGGTAATTCCTCGGCAACTCGCCGTTATCTGAGGATGATCTGAGGATTGATCGAACCAGCTGATCCTGTTGGAGGGTATGGCCCTCCATGTCGATCCCGATGCGACGTGGAACCATGGATGGAGGGAGACGGTCTGATGGGTTTAGGGTTGGAGCTAAACCCCCAGATTTTGTGGTCGCGTTGCTTGAAACTCCGCCGGCGCCCTTCCCAATTTCCTCAATTTTGGGTGAATTCACAACTCCTCCGCCAAGCACCTCCTATCTCAATTAACCACAAACAATGCGGAGTCAGCAAGTATCACAAGAACATCAGTTTAAAAGGGCCCTTGTCACGGACCCTGAATGTGCCTTAAGTACTGTCAGGGTCCATCTGTTTCACTGCGGTTTCGTCCATCAACCCGTCTCTTGTCATTCGTTCACCCTCTTTTCGAAGCTTCTCTCAGTCGTAGTACCTTGAACTCTTTTTTTTATTTTATAATCGACTGCTCAACCAGCGGGGCTGGCATTGAGCATTCTTCCTTTTTTTACTACTATGTCCAAACAACCCACCAAAGTCCTCTTCCTGGCCAACAGTGAACATGGTCAAACGAACATCATCCTGGCAATCACGCACGAGCTCCTCGTCCAAGGAGACGTTGAGGTCCATATTGGCTCATTCCCGGTCCTTGAGCGCCGGGTGGAGAAACTTCTGGCAGACAACGCACCTGCTTATGACGAGTCCTTCCGGTCGCGTATTCACTTCCACCCTGTAAGGGGTCCCTCCAACACCGATGTCTTCATCCGCACGGGCAAGCGTGGTGCCTTTCATCCCCCGGGATATCATGGTGCCGTGCTGGGCTTCCAGTCTCTGTGTGAAGACATCTGGGGCTGGACAGAGGAGGAGTATGTCGACATCTACGAGAGCTGTGTCGAGATAATCCAGGATGTCAAGCCATCGACAATTGCAATTGACTTCTTCTTCCTCCAAGGCAGAGATGCTGCTTACAACACAGGCCATACGGCCATTCTGATCAATACAACCTCCCTGAGTCACATCGTACTCGGGATGCAACCCAACTCAGCTGCTCTATGGAAATACCCCCTGTTAGTCTCTTACCCTCTATATGATTAGTCAAATGCTAATAAGGACTAGACCTGGAACTGGCTTCCCCTACCCCATTCCCTGGCATCTCATCCCCCTCAACATCATGGCTGTCCTCAAGACGGCCAAGATGTACCACGGCAGTGGACGACGTCGGGAGATCCGTGAATGGCGCATCAAGCACAAGATCCACGGCCGCTTTCCGTTTGCCGATGCTTGGCGTCCGGATAGATACCATATCTCTCCAGGATTGAAGGAGCTGGACTGGCCATTCAGCAAGATGCCAGAAAACATCCTCCCTGCCGGTCCGATCCTGCTCCCCACCGCTTCCGTCGAGAAGCAGGACCCTCAAATGCACAAGTGGCTGAAGCAGGCCCCAACTATTCTCGTTAATCTCGGAACCTTGTATGCACCTGATCCCAAGGTCGCTGAGGAGATTGCAACTGGCCTGAAGGGGTTCCTCAATGCCTGGAAAGGCGAGAAGGTGCAGATCCTATGGAAGCTGCCCAAACACCCACACGACGAAGACGATATCTACAGCCGTTCTATCGAGCCGCTCAAGAAAGAGACTGATGAGGGAAGCGTGCTAATCCGCCCATGGTTCGAGGTTGAGCCCATGGCCATGTTGCAGACGGGCCAGATTGTCTGTTCTGTCCACCACGGCGGTGCCAACTCGTGGTACGAAGCTATTCAGTGAGCCACCCCTTTTATCCATGATCTAGACTGCATACTAACTCTTCCAGAAATGGTGTCCCCCACATCGTCCTTCCAGCTTGGCAAGACTGCTACGAGAACGCTGCTCGAGCCGAATGGCTAGGCATTGGAGTGTATGGCAACAAGAGCCGGGCTCCCAACATCAGTGCCAAAGAGCTGAGCAAGGCTCTGCTGAAGGTGATGAGCAACCGCTCCTACAAGGAAAAGGCAACAGAAATTGCCAAACTCTGCAAGAAAGAGGGTCGCGTTGCCGCAGCAGAAAAGATTGCAGAGTTAGCACGTAACCCGGAGAAGGCGACAGCGATCCACATCCCCGAAGCCGACCCAGAAAACCAGCCACCACTGTACGAGATCAAGAATCGTGCAGGCATGACACTCCAAACTGCGCAGATGCCCAAAACCGAAGGCAAAGGCGCATCGAAGTAAGCCCTCCCGTCTCTCAAACAATCGCATCCGTCTAACCAATCCAACAGACCCTTCCTAACCGACGTTGTCGAGTCCACCCTCATGACTCTCCTCTGCACCACCTGGTTTCACCTCCCTCTGCTGGGCTACTCGCTCCTCCTGGTCCCCCGTCTCCGCCTGTTTGTCCTCCTCTACATTATCTACGTCAAATATTTCTCCAAGGCCCACAAATCTGGCACATTGCCCTATCGCAACGATGCCTTCCGCACCTCCTTCATCTGGAAAACCTTCGCCTCCTACTTCCCCCTCACCCTCTACCGTTCTGCTCTCCTTTCTCCGAGGAGGAAATACATCTTTGGCTACCATCCGCACGGTATTGCCCTGCGCGGGGCAATGGGTGCTTTTGCAGCCGACGGCGTCGGCTTCTCCTCCCTCTTCCCGGGACTCACTAATACCCTCCTTATAAAAGATGACTGCTTCTACCAGCCCTTCCAGCGAGAATACCTTCTTGCCACGGGAGCAAGTGGCGTTTCTCGCACCTCATGCATCAAGCACCTCACCCGCGGTGGTCACGATGAGCGAGGAATGGGTCGTTCCATTGCCATCACTGTCGGCGGGAGCCGCGAGTATAACATCGCCAAGCCAGGCACTATGGGGATCGTGATCAAGATCCGCAAGGGGTTTGTACGCGTTGCGGTCGAGACAGGGGCGGATTTAGTCCCTGTCATTGCGTTCGGCGAGAACGAGCTGTTTGACTTGATTGATACGAAGTCATCGTCGGCGCTGGGGTTGGTGGCGAGAGTGTGGGAGTTTGTGGTGGGTCATAGGGTTGCGTTCTCAAAGGGCAGATTTGGGCTGTTTTGTCCGTATAGGAAACCGCTTAATGTGGTCGTGGGCAAGCCCATTGAGGTCGTGCAGCAGAGGTGGGATATGGATGAGAAGTATGTTGATAAGTTGCATGAGACGTATGTGCAGGAGTTGACGAGGCTGTGGGATGATTGGAAGGAGACATTTGGGGTAGAGAGGGATGTGAGGTTTGAGATTGTGGAGTGATCTTGCTTTTCTCATTCTACCCGTTAATTCATTCTATGTTGATGTTTGTGGCCGGCTGGCTGGCTGGGTTGGGATTGCGGTAGTATATTGCTTTGATACCTTTTGACACCTGATTTGTCTGATATGGGACTTGAACACATGATTTTTGTAAACGCAAATAAGATACCTGAATTTGATTAATTTCTGGGAACATCTGTGTCTCTTCACACAACCCACCTTTACCTTTTTCAAGTCCCCTATCGAGCATAAGTAAATCTAAAGCTACTACCCACCTTAAAATCGGAGTCATGCCAAAGTATGAAGCCATTGTAGAAAGCTGTGATACTGGTGAAGATAGTAACATTAGCAAAGACAGCAAATTGGTGGAACTGGAGCTGACCTCGGCCCGACCCTGAAAAAGCATGGCGAGCTCATCAGTCATGGTGTTCTATCTCCTGCGAAGCCTTTATTCCCCTGTTAGGTACTGACGTCACCTACTTTGACCCCAATCCTCGTCCGCCGTAGTGTTGCATAGACCCTGCATTACTCTAGACGCTTATGTGCATCGTGGATGATTTCACTCTGCATATGATTCGTACAAGGCCGCGTCTAAGGCGTTCAACCTAATGGCGGGGCTTGGAAACTAAATCCGGCCCTAAGAGGGACTCTACCAATTGGCTGTCCGGGTAGACAGTACTACCTGTTTAGATCGAAGGCCATCCAAGCTAAGGGTGGGGTTTAATAATGTAATCCCACTAAGATATATAAGACAAAAGAAACTGACTCAGGCTTAATATTCCGATCTCATTTCATCGTTTCGGCTGCTCTTTGCTCATCAGAATCATGGCCGGACAGCAACTCACCTGGCTTGTTACCGGCTGCTCCTCTGGCCTAGGGGAGGCCTTGGTGCGGGCCATTCTTGATAAGGTAGGTGTCTCTATACATAAAGACACCACGTCAAAGTGGGACATATAAGGAGCTAAATAATAGTGATAGGGAGACAAAGTCATCGCCACAGCCCGCGGTAGCAAAGGCGTCAGCGGAACCGACCGTCTCTCCTCCCTCAAAGATGCCGGTGCAGCGGTCTACGAACTCGACATGGCATCCCCAGAAGAAGAGATCAAGCGACAAGCTCAAGACATCTGGGACAAGTACGGACCGATAGATGTCCTAGTCAACAACGCAGGGTACATTGACATATCCACCTTCGAAGAGATGACGTACGTCCCTACACTCTCCATCCCACCAACACTCCCAACTAATAGAATCACAGCGACGACTTCCTCCTCAACTCCCTCCGCATCAACGCCCTCGGCCCCTTCACCCTCACTCGCGCTCTTCTTCCTCACATGCGCGCCCGCAAAACCGGAACCATCCTTTTCTCCGGCTCCGTAGGCACCTACTACGGCGTTCCCTGTGGGGGGCCCTACGTAGGCCCCAAGGGGCTGATTGAGGGTATGGTGCCGGCTTTCGCGATGGAAGTGGCTCCGTTTAATATCCGGGTGTCGATATTGACCTACGGGCATTTCCGTACGCAGGTCATGGCGGCCGGGGTGATTCAGGACCGGAATCCGACTCGGCTGCCGGAATACGAGAAGTTAAATCAAGAGGTTTATGATGGCTGTTTGGATTGGAATGGCAATCAACCGGGGGATCCGAGGAAGGGTGCTGAGTTGGTGGTAGAGGCTGTGAAAGGGGAGGGGAGATGTAAGGGGATGGAGTTGCCGCTGAGGCTGCCATTGGGGTCGGATACGTTTGGGATTGTGAGGAATAGTTGTGAGGAGTTATTGAAGGTATGGGGTGAGTGGGATGGGATAACGTCGAAGACGGATATTGAGTAGGGCTGGTGTAGTTGTTTGAGGGGATGTGGGAACTCGTCTGTTGTGATAGATTTCTACTACAACCTGATAGCTGTGTGACTTGTCTTATATACTTGACAATGTGGTGGTCCGTTCAAGGGGTTACGGCACTTCATATATGACTGAGACTGAGATAGCAGAGGAGTAAGAGGGGGGAAAGGCGAGGCTGAATATAACCAAGTAGATACTAGAACTGAAAGCAGCAAGGCAAGTGAGAACCAAGGTCATTTCCTAGTGAGGGCATACTGACCATCTGACTGAGAATATCAGCGGAAGCCTCAGGTTTCCACGGCCTATAAATACCACATTATTCCTCCCTCTCCTCTTCATCCTCTTCATCTCCTCAACACCAGGTCTTCCTCGCGCTTCTCTACCTACCTCTATACCAGCGTGCCCCAGCTCTCCTACTAAGAAACACCGCTTCTCATTAACGCAAGAACCTTGACCACTACTAGTTAACAATGCCTTCCGAAGTCGCCGAATCCGGTCAGAAGAGAAAATGCCAAGAGACAGCCAACACAGCTCAGGATACCAAGCGAATGAAGCAGGGAGCCACGGAAGAGAAGAGTGAACATCCACGAAAACACAGAGTAGGCTCTGGTACTGCGAAAGCTCTACTTCAACAGTTGCTGGATAGTTCAAATGTGAGGGCTAGACTGAGTACCCGGGCTCGAGTTTATACTCTTTGGCACTGGTTCGAAGACCTCATGATGGATGTCTCCGAGCTAAATCCTGCCACGCAGGCTAAGGGTAATGAAACTGATCCCAAGAAGGCAGACGAGCTTCTCCTTCGATACTGTCATATGTGCAAAATGCTGGGAGTCGCTCTGACTGAAACAGCGCTTGACTTCCGGGCTCGTGTCAAAGACGGTGAAAAAGTCTGCAAATGGTCCAGGCTATCAGAATACAGAGAGAGAAAAACCTTACTTTATTTAGAAGATGTCTGGGGCCCAGAGCCCAGGTACCTAGCTGAAAAGGGCCCCAAAAGGTACCTGAGGCTCTGGAGGGATCTGGCCAGAAAAGAGCAAGACTGGAACGTTGTTGCAAACTGGCTAAATCGTTCAATCATGGACAGGATGATAAGAAGATTTTTAAATGTACACCTCGATTTTGACGTCCTCGGATGTGACATTCTCAAAGCGTTGAGTATGAAAGGACCAGTGGAGCCTGTCTCACAGCAAGAGCTAGAACTGACCGGCGCTAATCTGGGCAGAAATGGAATGCTATGTTGGAAGCGGATGGATCGTATGCATGCGAAAGCCAAAACGGCAGAAGCGTGACAATCGTGAAGTTGGATATAGGTCATGCTGAGACAGAAATAATCATCTACCTGGAAAACACAATAACAGAATAAACGAACGCAAAGATGTGCTCGTGTGCAAATATGACTCGATAGCATGTTTACATCGTCATTCATTTACTTTGATTTTACGCTGTGCTCCATTTCCCAGCGCCTTGGTAGCACCCTTAATGCTAGCTATTTGTCTTTTACCATAGCAAGGTTTCTAATGCTAATAAAGAAAGATTTTTTTTTCTTGCCACAAATAGAGGCAATCATATACACTATATAAGTATAAGTGTGTAATCTTGTCGCCGTTTACCCCAAGACCACGATATTTGTCCATCTGGATGATTAAAATCATGGCCATGTAATTGTCATCCCACCATACTTAGTACGCGTTACTCATAAACATAGTTTCATCAGTATCCTGTGACTATATCTCAAGCATTGCTACTAGACATTTTGAAAGCACCGATTGGTGACCTCCGAGACACAAGCGCAGGGCGAAGCATGCATGATCCACATGTCCAGACTACATCTTACCGCGATGAGGATTTTTTTGGCGTTCACTCTTTCCAATGCGGTCGTCTGTCAAGGGGGTCAGCCATATCTAAACTGTCGAACTTGCTCTTCTACTCTCTATTCCACAGAATCTACCGACCATCATCCATGAGCTACACTTTCTTGGACTGAACATATTACGTTAATGGACGCTGTTCTCACGCTTCATAAATGAATGTCCTTCAAATTTGAACACCACTCTCACGATCCGCTATCTATCGTGGAATCCGACTCTCATCACGCACATCATAAATGCAGGAACTCATCAAAAGTCGTGAGTATTTATGCAGCTACATCCCTCCTCCAAACCTTCATAGGCATCGGGCCGGAACCAAGATTCGTCGTCTCATGCCTCTCCGGCTCCCAACCCGGATACGGCAAAGCAAAGTCGAACCGATGAACGAGCGAAGCAACCAGGATAGTCTGCTCAAGGTAGCTAATATTTCGTCCGATGCAACCCCTCGCCCCAGTACTAAACGGGATGAAATACGGCTGCAGCTCCTTCCCCTTCTCCCCTAGCCACCTCTCTGGGCGGAAGGCCTCAGGATCCGGGAAGATAGACTCATTGCGATGGACTACATATGCTGACATCCCGACCGATGTATTACCGGCGATATGATCGGACAGAATCATAGTACCTTCAGGCGGGGTACGTCGCGGAAGCGCAAACGACACGGGCGGAAACAGTCTGAGACTCTCGTCCAGACAGGCCCGAAGATACGGAAGATGCTTGACTTTATCGTAAGGGGCGACGATCTCATCGTCATCCAGGACGCCATCGACCTCTTCCCGCAATTTTTCAAGACACCTTGGGTTATTCAGGAGAAGGAGCATCACATTGCTGAGCGAAATGGCGGTTGTATCAGACCCGGCGTTCATCATGATACTAATTTCTGCAACAATCTCGCCCCATTCCAGATTATGAGGAAAATTGGATTTATCTGCCATCAGCGCAGAGAAGAAATCAACAAGCTGCTCGCCATTCTGATAGCGCTTCCACCGTGTCGTGGCGCGGTTGTAGACGATACCATCCCAGTCTTTGTTAAGCTTCCATTTCCGGTGGTATGTCGGAGACAGGATCTTGCTAGCTCGCACCAGTGTTTTATACCAGTCGTAACACCAGACTAGAGTAGCTGTTGCTGAGCCGGTGGCGAAAAGGCAGTCTCGGAAGTGTACTTTCTTTGTCATGCCGTCCATTGACTCTGATGTGATTAGATCGTTCCCCTGGTCGAGGAACTTGATGTCCTCGCTTAGACCAATGTTCGCAATAGCTGCGATGGTGAACAGATTGGTCCACATGCGGTAGTCGATTGTGAGGTCCTTCTCAAGTGGGCGATGACCCTTAGGTAACGGATCAGTGCATCGTGCATCAAAGGCTTTGATAAGACGGTTCGTCATGTCGGCGACCTTGTATTCCCATGTTTCTAAGTTCTTGAGCGCGTATGCGCTGGAAAGGACTTTGCGCTTCCGAGCGTGCTCTTCCTTGTCGACGACATCGGCTAGGTGGAAGTGTGACCCGCCTAGGGTGGAGTAAAATAGGTCTTTTGTACAGGTTGTTCCGTGGCCGTAGATGTCTTTGATAGCATCTGGGTCTGCATAGGATAGATAGTTGGGTCCGATTCGGACGACGGGGTGGGTTTTGTGTGCTTCAAGGAGACGCTTGTAGCGGATGCCTTTGTGCGAGAAGTATACGAGGGGTAGATCTGATATGCCCGACCAGAATGTGAGGTTTGGGTATTTTTGGAAGCCTTTGGGGTCGCGGAAGTAGTTGATGATGGGGATGATGAAATAGTAGATGGTGAGAAGGCTGAGAAGAAGGATGACTATTGGGATGTACATTTTGTGTGTGTCGATTTTGTGAATTGCACATCTACATGTTCAGTTCGTCTTAGACATGAACCAGTTTATATGTTCTTCTGGTTATAGAAGCATGATACTGATACTGCAGTAATGTATACTGATCGAAATGGAAGCACTCGCCGAACAAACCCCAAAACGGTTAGTGCCGGCGAGATGATCCCAAAGCAGTGGCATGCAGTGACCCGTTGGCGATGCGTCGCAGCGACAAGATCCTAGAGAGTCTCTGCATGATTGCATAGTCCCTGAATCGCCTTGGTAAAGGCGTATGGTATTCAGATATGCGACTTTCAAGAAGATGGCACTTAACAATTCAGTGCATGTTTGATTCCGTCCTGCGGCCATTGACGCTCTTCCTCCGGTAGGAGACGCCCCTCTACAGCCTCGGGGGAAACAATTGCATCTTCATTGAAACCATTTCATGTTAAGAACTACTTAACGCCAGATATGAACCTGTGCAGCTGTACCGTCTTTCGTCCGATATATGAAGGCACCAAGAACCCTACACTATGAAGCACTTTGAACCGATCTACGGGGGATTGGGGTTGTTACCCCGCCATGAAAGGAAAAAACCATGTCCAACACTCGTGCAGCATAACGGCAATTGAAGCAAGCATGTCAGGCTAATGGGAATTCATGCTTTGGCTACAAGTCTCATCGCATCACGCGCTATTACACCGAGACATGGCTGGTGAGGGGACCAGGGGGTCTTTTGTGAAGTCGAATGCGCGGGGATCGATCAGCGACAATGGCAAATCTAGACCTCAATTAAACTCATTATCTAAGTGGCGCACATGAAGAATGAAGAATGAATCCTGAAGCTCAAAATCGGTAAGGAATATGGTGGTTAACCCCCGCATAAGAAAGAAGCAGTCCATGCGGGGTTGAACTGCTGACCGACGGGGCAACCCTCGGCGAATCCCTCCCGTTTTCACATACTATCTACTCTTTGTTCGACTCTGCCCTCATCACTCACTCTCAAGTATTACTGATGCCTTCACGGCGTGATCCCTGGTTTGTTTCCCTCATTTTACTTCTAGTATTACAGTTTACTGACTTTTTGCAGCCAGCGTTGCCGAAGTATGAAGGGTTCTGTCCCACTTGTTAAGCCTCTTTAGAACACTAATTATATATCTTGATCCCATACAGAACATCATTTGAAATGTGAATCTAAACCCCACCACCAAGCTGAGCACAACTTGAAGACATAGATACTAAAACATCCACCGACAGGTGACGACAACCGCTCAGCATGCAACAGATGCCAGATCGCCGGACGGAAATGCATTCGCTCGCGACCCAAGCTCAAATTCCTCAACAGCACGAGCGCTGAATACGGGTATGCCTCGGGGAGACAAAAGCAGCGCAGTCCATCCACAACAGGTGCGTTGGTAACCTGCAACTGCAAGAATATACTGATCCAATATACATACATACATAGACGTATCGTTCGAATACGTCGACGAAACCCCCGCCGTGGCAGCTCTATACCAGCATGAATCTACTCCATCCGCAAACCATCCAACCACACCACACGCCTTCACCAGCTCTACGACAACAACAACACCTCTTGTCACATGGATCACATCATCTCCTGAAACGTTTCCCAATACCTCACCCACAACCTGGAGTCCACCCATCCAGACCCCGCAAGCCCATCTCACGCTAGAAGAAGCATGCTTGCTGCGCTACTTTTCCGAAACACTAGCTAAATGGGTACGTTAATCTCCAACTCCCAAGCCACATTAAACATTTCCAACTCTAGTACAAAGTTCGACATCGGCGACCCATCCCAATGCTTCACCACAATCGTCCCCCAACGTGCTCGAACCAGTCCCCCTCTCCTGGACGCCCTCCTCTCCGCCTCAGCCCGCCACTTCAGCACCCTCCCGCACCGCCAACAATTGCATATCACCCGCCGGTATGGTCTCCCTCAGGGCCTGACCATTGATGAACCCTCCACTCTGCATTACCATAATCGATGCATCGCGCATCTCCGCTCCGTGAGTACGGAGCCGAATGCTATTTTGGATGAGAATCTCCTCGCTGCGGTGGTGACGTTGAAGTTTTATGAAGAGCTTGATAGTATGTAATTTCCCCTTCTACCCGTTCACCGTTAAGTAGGGATTGGAGGACTACGGAGTAATGTATTGTATAGCACCCTTCCACCCCCACCCTACGACAACCGCTATTCGCGGCTTGCAGGTGTTTCTGGAAGCGCAGGCCCGTCCGACTATTATGGGTAGTTCTACTTCGTGGGGTCTGCGGCAGAGCGCCTTCTGGGTAGGCGTGCGCCAGGAATTCCACATGGCGTTTACGCAGCAGCGCCCGTTCCGCATTCCGCTGGATATATTGGACTTGTATCCTGCTCCGGGGGCTACGTCGGCGGACTATGAGTGGGTGAATGCGCTGTTGATACTAGCTGCGCATGTGATCCAATTCTGTTTTGATGAGGGGGCATCGCGGAGTGTTGTGACGTATCGGGAGTTAGTGCGGAAGAGGGATGACTGGGTAAGAACGTGTCCAGGGTCTTTTGAAGCGGTTTACTCCGACGATGGGGACGGGGGAGGATTCCCGAATAGATGGTATCTGGATGGATGTCAGATTGTGGCGGCGCAGAGTTTGGGGTTTATTCGCATTCTGCTGGCGACGTATAATCCTTCGTTGTTGGGGGTGAGGATGGGCAGGATAACGATGGCGACGGAGAAGGAGGTCAAGGAGGCCGTGTGGGAGGTCTGCGGAGTGGCAATGTCGAATCGGCAGTCGCCGGCGGGGATGGTGATTGCGTCGTTTGCTGTGGTGGTGTGTGCGGAGTGGTTTGATGATCGGGGGGAGCAGGAGAGGCTGAGGGGGTTCGTGAGGGAGATGAGGGGGGAATGTAATTATTGGCCTGGGGTAGAAATGGAGAGGAGATTGGAGAGGGTGTGGAATAGCCATAGTCAATAAGTCGCTATGTATGTGGTTGATTAGCGCTGGGAAGTTTGAAGAGATGGGAAGTATGTTGAAAACCATGTTGTTGACCGTGTAGGAGGAATATATGTGTAAGTGGTATGTATCTCCAATCCACCACCCGAAACAATCAGCTCAAGGAATGAACAAGAAGGTAAATAAATAATCACAAATCAAACAGTCAGCACAAAAGCAACCTATATACCAAAAACCAGGATATAATATGATACAACGCCAATTCCAACACCGCACCATGGCGCAAAGACACAACATTCGGTTCAGGTCCCGTCCATCAATCAGTAAGTCAAAATCAAAGTGGTAATCGGACAATGCGTAATCGTCAATCGTACATGCGGTAGGTTAACGCGATGCTTGCTTGCTGGGGAATTCGCTTTTTAGGGAGAGATAAAGAGTAGGTCACGAGTCGAGTATGGGCGCGATAAGGAGTGTGAGGATATCAATCGAAGACGCCGGAGGAATAAGGAAGGTATGGATGCGACTAGTAATGCGATGATTCATTTTCGGAGTCTGTGCAATGAGCGATTCGTTAGTTCCACACCTAAAATAATCGATGATTCGGATTGCAAAGGTTGACGGGTAGACGTACAGCCTGACTCTACATCCCTCGCTACCGGCGCGGGCATCTTCCCGGGCATACTCATCGACTCGCGTTGGAAGATGCCCAGGTTCTTCAGACGGACGGTTCGCATGTAGGATTGTTGCTCGGCGGGATAGTTGTAGCGTTGTTGGGGGGCCTCAGGCCAGAATTGTTTCGTGAGCGCGGCCCCCAGTGAGACGAGGGCGAGGCACACGACGATGACGATGACGATGATGGCCGAGTCACTGAGCTTGGTCATGATGAAGCGACTTGTGGTATATACACCAACTCTCTAGAAATATATTGATATGATTTGGGGATATTTGTTGATGGTATAGAAATGGTGGCGTTCAGCGATCGCAAATTGCTGTGGTCTGTGCTGGTTGCTAGCTGCGGGTGTGGATGTATTTGGTGGATGGAGTTGGAAGTGTGTATGTGTGTAGTGAGTGGTGTGATGTGTAAAGCGGATAAGCGGATCCGAGTTTAACGCATCAACTTTGTTTGGGGCGGGGAATCTAACGGGGGAGGGAGGAAGGAGGTAATGGTGTGAGTGTAAATATACGGTCGGTAGAAGAGAAGAAGAGGAGGAGAGGAAGAAGAAGAGAAACAGGAGGGATGGATGAGACACGCTGGGATGGAGGAGTTCGGAATAAGAATGCTGATAAGCCCGCAGCGATGAAAAATTCAAGCCGGTTTTTGGCTCCACTGTTTATTTATAAACGGGTCAAGTGGTGAGCTGGTTGGATGGCTGCTGCTGCTGATGATTGGGATGGTTTGCTGGTTGCCCACGCGGCCACTGCCAGTATTTGTGTACGGTAAGTAAAAAAGGTACATTCAGTGCCTTTCATCGCATTACGCCGGCATCTCCCAAAAGCCTGGCAGAGAGTAGCCCCATTGGCTGCGGCCGTGCCTGGAGAGTATATGATTGGCCGATGATGTGACCAGAGTGGGCCTGGAAGAGGGGACTGATGATGAAAGACCAAAAAAACACCCCGAAAAACACCAATGACTAATGGCGACCTGAGTGCCAGGATGTGGTCGGTAAGATTCGCATTGTTCGACAGATACGCCGATACGCAGATCACGAGCGCCCGGGAAGGGGAAGAATGGGCGCCCGCGTCGTGACTCTCACTCCTCGCGACCAGGCAGCATTACTCGGTTTGCTCTTCTACTTCACATTGTTTGGTTGCCGGATATATCTTTCTTTACCATGATTGTGCCCAGTCTTCGCTACCAGTCTTGTTCTGCCTACCTGGTGGGCTCCTCACCTGGTCTCGACGGGTCTACTGGCCAACGCGGTTCCGCCGTTCCCGAAAGCTTGATCGGGCGGATCGGTGCCTGGCAACTATTGTCCTTGCCTCATTGGAGGCTCATGATGCGCAAGTCCGAGTGTGCCCACCGTCTGCTTGAGTGACAGCACAGCCAGGCAGCAAGATCGACCACCTGGTTGACTCAATCATATTACCATAATGTCGTGGTTCTTGAATGCTGGTTTTTGGACCTCATTAATTACGTACTTTAGCTTCTTGCTGACTGCCTCATCTCTGCCGTATTCGCATTCTGAAACACGGGTGGAGCTGAAACATCCTTGATCGTTCTGCCACACCACCGACGTAATAATCACTCCGGGCGATCGTCGCTCTCGGTCGCTCACCACCATCCCCAACTGTCTACTTCCGCCGTGTGAAAATCAAGTCCAGTTCACCATGATACAAGACGAAACAATCCTTCGACCGTTGGATCAAATCTTTCTCCGCATTTCCTGGCGCGAACTTCACATTGAATGTCGTGACTAGATGTGCCACTGTTGCCCTCAGATTCTGAAGAGCCAATGGCTTGCCAATGCAGTTGTAGGTACCTAAAAACAGATTCATTCACCATCAGCCAATCAACCTAGTCTGATCGCCTCGACTCTAGGCAGAACACATACCGATGTTGAATGGAACAAAGGCTGATTGATCGTTGATCAGCTCGGGCTGCTGGTACCACCGCTCGGGGATAAACTCTAGCGGCTTTTTATAGCTCAATTCCGCTAGTTCGTCGTTAGTTCACTGGCTCTTTCGCCGCTCTGCCCGCCGGGATTGACTTACACCGTCCCATTGCAAGCACCGGATTTATAACCGTGGTGTTGCCTGGGATGGACACTCCATCCACCGTAATGCCCTCAGGAGGCATTATCCGCTGTACTCCCGACGGAACCGCCGGATATAGACGCATGGCTTCGTTGATGGCACCGTTGAGGTGTGCCAAGTGACCAATATCGCTGTCGTAAAAGTCGCCAAGGCGTCCATGCTCATTGACAACTGGGGCCAGTTCGGCACGAAGCTTCTCAACCTCGTCAGGATGATGGCAGAGCTCATAGAACAAAGAAACAAGCGTCGAGGCGGTGGTGTCACTGTCCGTGTGAGACAGGCATATGTGACTACTTCTAGGGGAGCACTCACCTCCCAGCAACAATAATTAGCCGCGAATCTCCTCCCAGCCACTGCTGGTCTTCTTTCCCAGGCTCTTTGCCTTTGAAGGGTGCTAGGAGCGCTGCGCTGATGTCGGGCACATCAGGCTCGTTCTGTTTGGTCAGCTCACCGAACGGGACGAAAGTACGATGGAAGCTCACCCTCATTCTCTCCACCAGCCTCGTCTCATAGTAATCCAGGAACTTGTACCATCCACTTTTGAGTCCTGGAACCTCCAAGACCATTCGAAACAGCCACATGGGTAGATTGCTGCCAACAAAATCCATTGTCTCCATCATAATCTGTGTGGCCCAATGGTACTCGCCTTGCTCAAGGCATCCAAAACCCTCTCCGAATGCCAGGTCTCCCATCACGTCATAGGTGTATAGGTCGAACCACTTGGTCACGTCCACAGGCTGACCCTCCCTTTCTACGAACCGATCCACGAGCTGTTGACGGTACTTGCGCACGCGATGCTCATACCCGCGCAGCTGCTTGCTGCCAAACGCGGTGCTCCATAATCTCCGGCGCTGCTGGTGCTCGGCCGGGTCTCGACTCGTCTGCAATGACTTGTTGGGATGGGAGTGGTCGTACCAGCCGCTCTTCAGGCAGCGCGAAGATGGGCCATGAATGATGTTGACAGCCTTGGGGTCGATGACGGATAGAGTGGAGGGTCCAATCCGGACGTAGGGCCCGTACTTCTCATGCAGCTCAGTCAGCTTGATATGTCTGTTGTTGTTTTTCATCTGTGAACAGAGCCACAGATCCGAAATTCGGGCGGGCCATGGACCAGGGAATGCCCCCAGTGGATGGAACGCCAGACGATAGAGCAGTAGACTGCTGAATATGCCAAGGAGATAGGATGCTGCATGCAAGGAGACGGTGATCAGGGCCTCTTGCCATGCGATTCCCCATGACACATGCAGGTAAGCGACCGCAGTGGCGTTCAGCACACCGAAAACCTGCGTATAGGTGGTGCCGTAGAGTTGATGCTCGCCTCGCCGGAAATACGTAAGATGCGAAAACACGCCCACTAGAGCGGCGGTCAGCATCGAGGACACCATGGTCGAGTCGATGTGGCTTGCAAGAACTGAGGTTGCGATTGGGGTTGCTACTGGGGTATACAGGCAAGCTTTATTTTATTTTGTCCCGTCTGCTTTATATTAATCAAGCGGGGTGAGCAGTGGGCGGCAGCTCAGTTGGTGCACTAGTACGAGGGTATGATGAGCCAGCAGACGGGTCAGCTTGCATTGCTCGTGCACACCCCTGCAAGTGGTTGACCCCTCTTCACTTGGCGTCTGGCTCCAACTCAAGCATCATCCTAGCACGGGCACTCTATGATAGTACAATCCGACCACTGACAAGTATACAAACCGTTGGTCAGCAGTCCACCAACAGATATGACAGCACTACTACGTACACGCATGCCGCTGTCAGGTAACTCTGAAGAACGAGCCTTTCAATAACCCCAAACCAGTCTCGAGGGCTATAGGCTAGCTGCATGCTGGGTGGTGTGTGATATATGCAGGTCTCCTCCACCATCGGCATCGGGGTGGTCCGCGCACTCACTGCGAACCAATGGTCGCACTCTTCAGCCAGCTGAAATCTACCAATCCAAATGCTCAAATTGAACGCTTACTCCATGGGAGGCCTTAAATACCTGGTAGTCTTCTACCACTACGGTCTTAACACATTCACAGGGTGCTACAACACGGCAACAGGATGGGGTGCAGTTTATCATTAACGACACACACACTATTTCCTACAGGTACGTATCTCATCTCACCACTCTCTACCTATCAACTTCCTAAGTCTAATAGGTTCAGGGATATACACCTCGGCCTATCTTGAAGGCTGAGACATTCGCGATTAGCCCAAGTACCGGCCCTACGCTAAGTACTAACCGGCTCAATTCGTAGCATCCTCTCCGACCTACTCAATCCACCGAACGAACTGACTGCGAGTCCGTATTTCCACAAGCATGAGATATCCCTCTCTGCCACAGGTAAATGCAGATAATATGCCTACTAGAACAAGTAGAGCAACGTTAGTTGCTACTTATATGCTCTTTTCTCTACGCTACCTGACCAAGTTAGTTCTAATTATCCTCCGACCGAGACAATAAGAGACTTTACCAATACACCATGCTGTCTCACTTACAATACCACGCTCCAATATCCTCCGTAGACACAGGAGTCCTCCTGCCCAAGGAAAAAAAAAAAAAGTCAAAACAAGAAAAAGTAAAGAAAAGCTTACTTCAAATAACAACTTCTTACAATACAACATAGTAGTTAATCAACCGACCGGTGTGCCGTAATAGCTGCTTAGTCATGGACATGTTTATACTCAGCATAACTCACCCATACCAACTAATGCTACTAATAATAATGCCATTGTGTGTTAGTTGTGTTATGCTCAGCCAACACCCACACAATATCCGAAATCGAATTAGTGAGCCAAGTCGGGCAGATTTGACGAGGACCGAGGTATGATTACATTATTCGCTACCCAGGTTTTTTCACTAAGTATCTATTTGTGTCTGGTAGGTAAAAATAGATGGAAGGAAGGTTTGGACATTCCTTCTTTTACTACTAATTAAGGTGTGACGATCTAGCTTGGTTTGTCTCTTTTCGTGTTTGGTGAGAGGTAAGATAACTACTTCAGGGCCTCTGGAAGTGGTAATAGAAATAACAAGCATCGCTCTACTTGCAGCCTTAAACCAGGTCGAAGAGAATAATGTTAATGCTCTCTCTAGCATTGAAGCCTATATACACCGAGAGCCACGACAAATATTCACATGCACACACATCAACGATAAGAGGAAATGCCGACGCATCCAGTCCGGCGGTGAAACACAGAGCGTATCCATAATCCACCCCAAGTGGGATGGAAAGCGCGCCTGGATCGACACGGCACTGCGTCATACCTCCCCTCCCCCCTCATCCGGTTTCGGAAAATTGACCGATCCTCCCCAGCTCAAGTCCGATAGTTGGGACACAAGTTCGTACTAGTTATGGCCGAACAAGTAGTCTACTGTCAGATCATGTCTAGCGGGGATCCGGTAGATAGATAAATAGTGACCGGGTTTGTGTTGCTGCCAGCAGCAAAAAGATGAGTATCGAGAGGTGCCAAGTAAGCGTTCCGGATGCCACACCGGGCCGGGTACGGCAGGGCGGTGATTGGCGGTGGCTGGAAAAGGCAAGTGCTAGGGCTAGGGTACGGAAAAGTCACCCTTTTCCGATGGGCGGAAGGGTTTCCCGATCGGGAAACTCAACACTTGACTGTTGACCACCTGGCGGAGATGGGCCCCGTTTTCTCGGTGCGGTTATCGCAGGCAACGAAAGAATGGTTGAGTCATTCAGAATTCAAGCTGAATTTCTTAAGTCCTGATTGGCCGTGGCAGAAAATCAGTCCTCACATCGCCGCAATTGCTGGTGAAGAAATGCCCGGCCTTCGGTATTGGCGAACCCGCCGATCCCGAACGCGGGAATAATCCGACACATACGCGTCAGGGACGCCCCGATCCAGTCCCTGCTCACCCGACTCAATCGGTCCGACGCCGAGAGTTGCATGGGCCGATTGTAGAGATCAAGGCCGAGCAGGTGGATTGGGGTACTGACCAGCTGAATGGAGGCCGGAATGGCGAGCTGCGCGAACAGGATCTTGAGGTACTCGCTGGAGGCGATGGAGTCCGGGATGGAGGCCGAGACCATGGCGGGGAGACTGAAGGAGCCGAAGATGGTGAGGGCATCGCGCACCAGGAAGGCCGAGTAGGTGGCAAAGGGGATGGTGCGGCTGACCGAGCGGAGGATCTTGCTTTGGGACGGAGCAGCAGAGGTCGTGGTCTTGGGAGCAGGAGTGGGAGTGGTGGGGTTGCTGTGACCGAACAGCTGGGCGAATTTGACGTCCTTCCAGATGCCCACGGACGAGTTGACCACAAAGGTGCTCATGAACGTGGCCACCCCTGCCATGGCGTGGTCGACGTGAGGGTAGACCTGGTCCAGGATGGTCTCTGTGGCATTGGCGGCCGCAAAGGTGGCTGTGTAAAGCGACCAGACGAGCAGACTGGGTCGAGAGGTCAGGAAGGTGGCAGGCTGTGTGATGGAGAGCCAGAGGTGTCGGCGGAAGGCAGGGAGCATAGGTTGGTTGTGCGACGACTTCTCAACGACCAGTCTAGGTGGTGATCAGTACAACAGTCAGGTAGGTGAACGAGAGAGGAAGCTCCTACCTGTCCAGGATCATGACGGCAGGAGTGACCAAGGCTGCCGAACCTGCAGCAACCATCACATCCGCCGTCAGGAAATCACCCAGCCGACTGCGGTGCCCCGCAAAGGGCAGGGACTGATGAACAGGGAAGTCGAAATCCATGCTGTCGAGCAGCGAGCCACTCCTAGCCCTGACTGGGGAATCAGATGTAGTGGTGGGGTTGGATGCAGAGCAGTTCTATGGCAGATGACACAAAGGAAAGTCGAAGCAAGGGAACGACGTGGGAGGAGTGGTATACTGAGGGGTGGTTAGTATACAAAGGGAGTATAGATGGGGGAATGGTGGGGAGCTACTGACCTAGATAGATGGAGAGGATGTACCGCTGAAAGCAACGCTGAACCGGGGTAAAAAGGAGTGAAAGAGTAGAGAGTATAATGAGGGACCAACAAAAGGAGTGGACAACCCCGGGTTCAAGGCTTATAAGAAACGAGATAGAGTCATGACCGCCCGCATCACCAGGTTGCCCAACACACCGTGAATCAATACTTACTCCTACTAATCTCCCACACAAAACAGGCTGCCGAATCGAGGGGGAGACGATATTCGGCGGCAAGGGCCAATGGCATCAACCGGGCCGGGACCCGGGTACCCTCGGTGATTTGGCGATAGGCACCGCCTTACCCAAGCCGGCACTCCCTGTACCTAATGAAAACTGAGGCTTTTTTGGGTTGAGGTGGAGCGTGTTCTAGAAGGCATTGCCAGGACAGGTGAGTTGGCGATCCACCACCGATGATGCTGTTCGTTGTGCTGCTGCTTGGAGTGGAGGGGGTGCGGCCTTGGGAAGCCCTAACGTGCCTGGCCGGGTTGGCCGCCCTCCGCATGATCGGCCGATTTGCAGGGTTCACTGGATGGTACCTGGCACACGTAGACTTCTCGACAGCATGCCGGAGAGAGGATGAAAAAGACCGACGGGGACTGTCATCTTGCTGGCAAGTCGTTGTACCTGGGTTAGGGCCGATTGAATGCTTAGGGGTGGTCGCGTGGTGCTGCAGCCAGTCCAGGGACCCTACAGTGCACGAGTCGATGCTCTGGCGGACTAGGGCCTGAGGATGAGCTAATATCTCCCCATGATTTGCAATAAATTAGTCTAATACTTATACTTAGGCATTGCACTGCCTGGTTGGGCCAATCAACGTGCCGGATCCCGAGCATAGATAAGCATCGCAGATGCGCCCCTCTACGGATCCACTGCTGGGACGAGGCCACAGTACGCCAAACGGTGTATTCACATAGTCTCGGGTCTACGTTCTTCCCCCTTATATCTCATTCTTAATGCCCTGCCATATCATCTCAAGTCATAAAGCCACTTCATTGCTCTCGGGCTTATTTCTTCGTCTACCGTAAATCAAACCTGTCCCGCATGTGCCTGCAAATCCAGCCTGGTCAAAAAAACCATAAACGAATGCCTGTAGCAACAGAACGCTTCCAAATATTTCACAGAAAAGATTGATCTTCATGTCCGCACCAATTCCTCTATTCCGAGGGTCGTGTCGAGGATTCTCGACGTGGGTGTTACCGGCATAGGTATCGGCGCGCTGCTCACATGATCACACAGCACGAATTCTGCTTCTTCGCAGAGGTGTAGAACATCTTCGACTGGGCACTGAGCCCCTCCGACTTGGACACGAGATCGTCAATCTTCTCTCCGCGCTCGAGGACCTGGTTGGGGAGTTAGCACCATTCTGCCCACATGTAATGCGCGCAGAACATACGCTCTCGATAGTCTTATGCAAAACGATCTTGGTCTCGTCCAGCTCCTTCTGAATCTTGAGGATGCTATCCACCTGGTGTGGGTCCTGGTACGCCTGAATGTAGGTCTTGAGGGAGGGGAAGGGCACCGGGTCACGGGAGGAGGCGGCGTTCGGGTTCAGGGAGAGGAACTCATCCAGCATTTTCGAGAGGATCTGGTGAGCAGCCAGGGACGGGTACTCATTATCGCTAATAATCACTCCGGCGATGCCTTGGGTTCGCGCGTAGACGTGAAATGTGAAATCTGTAGGCGACCGGCGGTCAGGGGCTGCCGCAGAGGGGGTGAAAAGACGACCCCGAGGGACGCCAACTTGCCTTGCTCTTGAATGTCCTGTCTTTGTCCTTGTTTCGTCCGTTCGGCCACGGTCTTACTGAACATCGTCATGAATTCGCTGACGCTGCCCTTGGTGAAGCGCGAATAGCTGCTGAGATCGCGCTCGGCGCAGAGCTCCACGGCGGGAGCTTGAGCATTTTGGAGAATCTGTCCAGATGAACGGGGTCAGACAGCCGACACGATGAACAGATAACATCCGTCATTCCTTACCCCGAGATAAACGAGCTTCATGATGGCGAGGGTGAGACTGGGAGAGGCTGACGTCGTTGAGCTGGCAAAGTTGCGGGGATTCCCAATGAAGGGTCCCGACCGTCCTTCACCGCCCTCATGCCTGAGGCAGCGACACATGCATCTTCTCTTCACTTCCCTTGACTTCCTGCCCACTTCCATCTACTCTCGCCTCTCTTCAGCCTTCGTAACTGCACTGGTGTTCTGGCATGATCGGTATCCTGATGACGTTCAATTTTCAGCTGGAATGTGGCTTGTTGCTTGATTCCTGGGTCGGTCTCTCTGCCAAGATGCAGAGCTGCATTCCAGAAAGTCCACCATCGCATGCCGTGGCACTATTTATGCCTTAGTTTTCGGGCATCTATGAAACATACGGCAACTCGATTTACCGGGCTTGCCCCTTCGGGCCTACAGTTACTTTCTCGCTATGCCATCTGCTAAGGTCAAAAGTGCAACCTTCCGTGGTGTGAAGGGTTAGCGCACAAATGCATCAGATCCCTAACACGAGGCTTCAACAGGCGAGGAAAAGTGCTTCTACGCTGCCGTATTTACATCCGCGTTCAACTGAAACATAAGGAATGCACCAGCAAGCTGGAACTCCACAACAGTATGCCTAAGAATTCTATGTCAATGAAGTGCAATAGTGAGCAATCTACGGTCAACTCAACCGCTGGTCGTCAGCTCGACGTAACAACTACGCAATGTTGCACATCGTCTTCTACTGGAAGTACGATCCAGGCTTTGTAGACAATTTCTTTGCTTAAGGAGAAAGTCGACACTTCAACGCCTTGAAGATGACCAACATTCAGCTGATGCCGACAGGCTATTTACGTAACTATGAAGATAACGCAGACATCTCGCATACTGCTGAACAGGCCAACATTGTAATGCTTCATGGTCAGAACTCAGTAGCGGGATGCCATCTACCAGCACTGATTTGTTTGTAGGCCATGGGCAATCCATGGATGTGTTCCATCACAAAACGCACTTTCTCCAAGATGCCCTCAATTCAGGTGGTCCTCAGAGCAACCGATCGCTACCATATCTCAAGCTACATTACAGTGAAGCTCCTTTCGACGTGAACGTTCCAGATCTGCAGTCGAAGGTCTGGGGGTATGGAATTTTCGACTGCCAGCGAATCTCAGGCCTTGAACAGAGTGTGCGGCGTGTGCTAGAGCAGCTGGAGCAACTTAATCCGGTAACTGGTATAATCGGATACTCGACCGGTGCGACCCTGGCGATGATCATCGCATCCTTACTGGAGAAGCAGAATCGCGGCCTTGTATTTGGCGTCCATGTGGGTATACTCATGTAACCTAACTAAGTAATTCTCGGATTGACATTCACAGACGACTCATCCACCGCTCAAGTTTGTCGTCGCATACAGTGGCTTTATGCTAGGCCATCCCATGTACAGAGATCTGTACTACCCGAGGATCTGCACCCCTACCCTACTATACATTGGCGAAGTCGACACAATGATCACACCAAACTCTACATACCGCCTGGCAGAAAGATGCAGTCATGTTGAAATCCAAACCTTCTGGGGGACACATTACGTTCCCAGGAATCTGAAAACAACAGATGCAGCTGTAAACTTTGTCTATCGGTGTTTGGTCGGTGAGCCCGAGAAGGTAGATAAGGAACGAAGCCGGTCGGGACCGAAGACGGTTGAATTGACTCTCAACAAGCGCCAGGAACCGGGAAAGGCGTTCACGGCCAAGGTTCCAAAACGGCGGCTGAGAATGCGGGATGCAACGTTGGGTAAAAAGCCTGCCGGGAGCGCCAAGCAAGGGATGGCTGTCACCACTCGGCTTACCACACAGCTTGTGTAACTCTGCATGTCCTCCACACCAGATCGTGAGATAGGCTTCATTGCGGACCCAGCTGGAAGTTGGGTAATGCAACGGCCGAGTTCAGAATTTTCCAAATGGTCTCGCTTATGCCTGACATGACCTTCTGGATGCAACACTACTATTCACGCAAACAGCAAGCCTACCACGAATGCAACAACTTCTAGCGATACTAGCCATGTTCAACGTCAGTCTGGGTCAGGTACGATCTGGCGACACGAAGGCATAAATAGCCATCTTCAACCCTCGCTCTTCTCATCATCATCACCAGCCATTCGCTCAATCATCCGTCTACTTCTATCTTTCAATCCAAATCAATCTTCATCTATCACTCACTCGAGTCAACCCTCCACAGTCACAATGAAGTTCACTGCTGCTGCTGCTCTCGCTCTTGCCACCGTGGTTGTGGCTCAGCCCTCCGTCCGCGGTCGCTCTGTCACTCACATCCCTGCTCCTGCTGGCATGACTGTCTCCCAGGGAGCCGACTCTTGCGGTGACAACGCCCAGCTCTCTTGCTGCAACAAGGCCACTTATGCCGGTGACACCACCGACATTGACAGCGGTTTCCTGTCTGGCGTCTTGAGCAACCTCCTTGGCGCTGGCTCCGGCTCCCAGGGCATTGGCCTGGCCGATGAGTGCTCCCCGCTTGACCTCCAGGGTATGTAATTCGCTGCAGGATACAGACTATCTCTAACATATCAAATAGCCCTTGACCTTGTCGGTCTGCAAAACTTGCTCAACGACCAGTGCGAGCAGACTGCCGCCTGCTGCCAGGGCAGCGGCAGCGACACTGTAAGTGATCAGTTACCGATCCCTTTTCACAACCTCCATACTGATGTGTATCGCAGGAGGGCAACCTTATCGGCGTGGGTCTTCCCTGCCTTGCTCTGGGATCGCTTCTGTAAGCGCATGGTCATAGCATAGACTATCCATTCAGTTACATTATGGATTTTATCATCTCGTCTAGTTCTGGTTCCGTGTTTAACCAGCTATTAATAAAACTTTGAATCTCTGATTCTATTGATATTTCCTCTTGCTCTAGTTTTTCTACCAGTATCTTCTGTCTTAATATTGTATCCTGCTTTTCATCTGCCATACATCATTATTCATATAGAGATCGAGACTGGAGTAGATTGCTCGTATCTTGGCGTCAGGAAAGCCTTCCAAGACCCG